TACATCGCAGCCTTGCCTGTTGTTAGACAAACATCTGGCTTTACTATTTCAAACCATCAGTTAAAAAGAAAAATAATTATTTGGCCAGCATGATTTTTAATCATTACATTTATGAATTATTGCACTTAAAATATAAGTAATATGCTTATAAAATTCAAAGTTTGCTGTACAATTATCAACTTATGAGAAAAGTTTTATTATAAAATTTTACATGTGAATATATACAATATAAAGATACATTTTAAAAGCAATTTAAGAGAACAGCTCAACCTTTCTACAGAAATTAGTTCTATAGATTTAAAAATTGTCATTCGCATTTTAATTATTTAAAGTAACATAGTACACAAAGAACTTTTATGCCTTCTATTAAATGACCAGCCCACCAGAACTACACTATGTTACCTCTGCTATCATACACAAGTGAACCTGGGTTCACTCATTCTGTCCTGTTTACAGCCCCAGAGCCAAATGAGCATCAGCAGCCTCACCACCCTCCCCTGCAGAGCAGGCCCCAAAGACACAGCTTCCAGCTCAGCCCCAGGTTGGAGGTCCTGAGCTGGCCCCTGCAGATCCAGAGCTCAGTGCTCTCCTCAGACTGTACACCTTCCTAGAACTGTGGCACACAAGGTTCCCAGCTCCAGGCTCCTCACCATGCATGGGTACAGGCTCTCTCCAGGAATGGGGTGCAGGTTCTCTTTAGGAGTGTGATGACAGTACAGATAACCACAGGCACAGGCTCTGGGCCCAATCTATGAGCAGACAGGACACAGCTGAACAAGGGGAAGAGTGGAGTTGCATGTAAAAGACAGCACACAGGATCATGGGTAACAGGAAAGAATGAATCCCAAGACAACAAAACATATGATCAGTGCCTGACCTCAAAGAAATAAAGACCCAGGCCACACCTCACTCAGAATTCAGATTAATGATTTTTAAAAACTCAGTAAGCACTAAGAAAAAATAGAAAAATAATTAAACTAAATTAGGAGAGCAATATCCAAAAGTAAGAAGTTCCATAGGCAGAAACACAGAAAGTTCAACAGATTAAAAAAAGGAAAGAAATTCTGGAGCTAAAGATTGAACTGAAAATATGTGAACAGCATTCTTGATCATACCGAAGAAAGAAGTAATAGCCCGAGCTGGGAGTGCACACCTTGGGAGGCTGATATGTGAGAATCGCAGGTTCAAGCCCAGTCCAGGCAGCTCAGGGACTAAGTGCACCCCTGCCTCAAAATAAAAAGCAAGGGGCTGGGCATGCAGCTCCGTGCCAAGGCCCTGGAGTCAGTCCCAGCACAGATAGGGGGTGGTGGAGAGAGGGAGGGAACGATAGGTGGACAGAAGCCCCTAAGATACCGAGATAGAAGAATAAAAAGCAATGAGTGAAAATTGAAGAGAAGTTATGAGAATTATGGGAAACCATCATCAAATGAGAAAAAAATATATATATATATAGAACACCAGAAGTAAGAGAGAAGATGTGGTAAGTTTAAATAAGCAATAACAAGGAACTTTCCAAACCTGCAGAAGTTGTAAACATCAAGAGTCATGAAGCCTAAAACCTCCAGTAGATTAAATACAGTGACCTTTACCAAGACACATTAGAACAAACCATCAGGAGAGCGGAAGGACTTTGAAGGCAGCAAGACGAAAACTTCATTGCATACCAGGAAGCCCACCTGTCACATCACTACAAGTCTAAGCAGAAAGCTCGTCAACCAAGAGGGTACAATGATTTATGTTAAAAGGACCAAGAGTCCTACAGCAAGCACAGCTGTCACACAGAGACGAAGGTGTGCCCCGCCTTCCCCAGACCAACCAGAGCAGCAGAAGCTCATCCAAAAGGCCAAGGAGTTCGGTGCCAGGAGCCAAACCCAGGAGCTTGCATACACACTCTTCCCCTGAACTACACAGGGCCATAGTGAGAGCCACTGAAGGCAGAAGGGAAGCACTCTCATTGGTGACTTGAGCGTGTGTGACATTATGAAATGCATTATAAAGGAAAGAATACAAATTAAAATGCACTAACGCTGTACCAGTGTCCGATAAATCACACGAGAATTTTTAAATTCCTAGACATAATTGACAGGTTGCAGCCCAAGTGAAATTTGCTGAGTCGTCATGGAGACAGCCCAAGATGGCAAAAGAACCAAAAGGGACAACTTATCTGACTTCCCCCTTCTCCCTTCTGCCCAAAATAAACTTTCTGTTTCTGGTCCCATGTACCCCAAAAAACCTCCAATCCAGCACTAACATGCGCCCTCATCCAGCCCCCACCCTTCCCAAATGCAAGCTAATGGATGCCTGTCAGCGCTTTGCTCTCACAGAGGTGCCCACGTTGCTTCTGCAGCCCCCCTTGTGCCCCCAGGAAAGGTATCTTCTGCAGCCCCCCTGTGCCCCCAGGAAAGGTATCTTTTCCCCCCTTTGTCTCTCAATTGAGCCAAAAAAAACTCCATCAGTAATAGTGTGTATTTATCATGTGTGACACCCTAATTTGAAGTATTCATACATTGTGGAGTGACTAATACAATAAATTAACATATTCAGTTATGGTTTTGTGCCAGGAATACTTCACCTCCGCTCCCTTAGCAGTTTCAACTTGACATGTCAACTGTGGTCACCACATGACCACAGAACTCGAGCACACGTTGCTCCTAACTAATTCACACTTGGGTTCTATAAACAATGCCCCTCACCCTTCCTCCCTAGATGCCCAGCCCCTGATGGCCAGCGTCTGCTGTATTATGGGGCCAACTTTTTTCAGATTCCATATACCGGGGAGATAAGACAGGGTCTACTTTCTGATTGTGGCTTATTTCATCCAGCATCACGTGCTCCAGACTTACCCATAGTGCTACAAGGTAAGACTTTCTTTTTATGGCTGAATAGCACTTCAGTGTGTATAGATAGCACATTTTAAAAATTCATCAATTCATTGATGAGTGCTTCAGTGAGTCCACAGATTTGCTATTGTGAATGCAATAAGCACAGCAGTGTGTTTCTTTGAAGGCTGATCTCACTGCCTACATGTTTAGCACTGGATTACTAAGTCACATGGCAGCCCTGTTACTAATGTTTTGAGTAATCCATCCTGTTTTTCACAATAGCTACACCTAATTTACAATGCCACCAATAGTGTATGAGGACTGCATCTTCAAAATGTAAACCTCCCATGGACAGTCTTACATGTTTTTGATAGCAGAGCCTGTCCAGTTGTGGTCAGGGCATTCCCACAGTCTCGTTTGGTTTTCACTGGTGTCTTTCTGGAGTGGTGCCGAGGATCTTTCCACAGAGCTGTTTGGCCACCAAATGCTTTCCTTTGAGAAACTCCTGTTCATATAGAGGACTTCAGTAGTCCACTTTCAGTGATGAATACAGCACTCATGATAATGCTGGTAGAGAAACAACAGATTTGAACAGCACTGCTGGCCAGGAGACATCTGCTGACCCCCAGAGCAGCACACTACACATCCCTGCAAGCACATGGGAGATCTTCCATTACGGTGAAGAGGTGAGGCCACTAAAACCCATTAACAAATTTCAAAATGTTGACATTCCTGTCAGGTATCTACTCTGATCACATTATGATAGTGATCAGTAATAGGGAAAACATACAAAATCCATAAAAATGTGGAAATTAACATACTCCTGGATAACTGGTAGATCAAAGGAGAAATAAGAATTTTTTTAAAAATCTTAAAATTAAATAAATTGGGAAGGATCACATACAAAAGCCTATGTGATGCAGAAAAAACATGAGGCTTATACTAATAAATCCCTACACTGAAAAAGAAATATTTTAGAACAATTTAACAATACACATCAGGAACTGGGGGGAAACAAAGAGGCTTGTATTCAGCAGAACCAAGGGAATATTAAGAGCAGATTAAAAGAAACAGAAAATAGGAAAACAACAGTGACACTAACAGCTTGTCTTTGGGTAAGATAAACAAAATTGACAAGCATTTCACTAAACTGAAAGGAAAAGACAGAAGACTCAAGTAAATAAAGTTGCAAGTGAAAGAGAAGATAGCAGAATTGATGCCTCTGTGAAGCGAAGGAGTCTTCAGTACTGCAGTGAACACTTACACGACAGATGTTGAGAAACCAGAAGAAATGGATCAGTTCCTACAAACACACAACATGCTGAGACTGAACTACAAAGACACAAAAATCTTGCGCAGAACAATAAGGAGGGTGGACATGGTGTCATTAATCCAAATCCTTCCAACAAGAAAATGACCAGGGCCAAATGGCTTCCAGGCCGACTGATGCCACACTCTTCACAAAGGGAGGGAACACTTCTGAACTCATTTCAGGAGCCCAGCATGACCTTGACATCCAAGCCAGAGAAGGACCCATAAGGAAATTGCTGGGCAATATTCTTGATAAACATAGGTGCGGTCATCCTCACAGAAAACCTACGAAGCTGAGCTCATGTTCACAGAAAGGCATTCACAGTAATTAAGGGGATTTCCTCTGTAAAGACATTCAGTTTTTATCTGTCAATAATACTTTTAAAATGCTGGCAAGCAAATACACATATGCACACATAATAAGATTTTAAATATTAAATCTAGAAGGAGAAATAGAGAAACAGAAGGAATTGTTCTAGCTCAGAAAATAAAGACTCTCTTTGGGGCCCAGCATGCTGACCTTCAGTCTTGATTAAATCTAACTCCACGTTTCTCATTTTTCGACTGCCTGATTACTTGTTTGGGGGTGTCTATCTGGCCACTCACCTTATTTGTATCCACTGCCTGCTCAGGTGTTAATTGAATGGTTATGGCTATGCAAATGGAAAGCAAATTGCTCTATTGGGCAGCTTTATGTAAGCAGAAAAGATAATGTTGATGGAGACACAGGGTTTGGGCCAACTGCTAGGTTTACACCCCATCTGCTGTTGTATGCAATCACAGTTGGGTCATTTGTCAGGTTTTGCCAATGTACCAGAGCTTAGAGCTATGGTCGTGTGCCCAGCTACTTTCAATCCACAGAAAATGTCATCTACAAAACCATTCATTTTATTGCTAAGAACTTTCCCCTCTCACCTTCACATTTGCCATAAGGGTGTGTTTTGAAGTTTAAAAGCTCAGGATTAGAATCCAACCCTCAATCATCAGCAATCTGCTAACCACATGTGGGTTCTCCAAACTCAGCTTTTATAATGAGAAAATAAATTAAATAATAATGCATACTAAATACTCAGCATATGCTCACATTTCATTAATGTTGACTAATTTTCTTCATTGTGATCATGTTTCTTTCAATATCTCTAAGAGTTTTTAACAAATGCATACTGGGACATCCCTGTTCTCCTTATGTTCAAAATGAATATAAATATGTAAAGTAGGCAGGATAAGACATAGATGTACACAGTGGACTATTAGTCACAATAGTCACGTGTTCTGCAGGAAAGTAGACGGAGCTGGAAGTCATCGTGCTAAGTGTCATCAGCCCGACATCAACCAGAGCAGTGGGCACCACAAGTTCTGCCTCATAAGAGAAACTGAAAAATAATGAATGGAAGGTCAGACATTAGGGAATATGAAAGAGATTGGGAGGAAGCAGGAGAAAGGGGAGAAAGGATACAAAGTCCCTCTGGCACTAGGACAGGCATAATCAGGCCACAAATCACTCATGTACAGAAATGCCACAGAGACCACTGACTGCACAGGGGTTAATCAGAAGGTGGTTGTGCTAACTGCAGTCAGTTGCTAATCTAAGAGCATAAAGAAAACTCTAACAGCACATTGGGAATCCTTATTTTGGAGAAGAAGGACCTGGTGAGAGGGATCCTGAAGCGCCGGTTTTGTGGCTGAGGCCCTCAGTGTGTTTTTATGTAGAATGCGTAATATTTTATGTGGAAACCCATGAGACCAGAATGATGTGCTTAGGCTATCAGTAAACAAAACACTATTGAAACTAACTCTCCCTCCATCTCTGCTTTCATTGCTGAAGTTTTTTTACATCATTTGTAGAATGAAGCATGTAAATTTTCTGAGGTCTCATTTTAAGAAAGTTTGGACAACATTTTCTGTTTTGTACTAATTTTTAAGAGGTAATTTCCTGAAGGACACAGATACTTACCCATAAGGAAGACTTTTTAGTATCTTTATGTCATAAGCCATGCTGAGGAAATGACCTCACAAACCCACAGGTTCATTGCCTCTGGGGTCTTATGCAGCCCATATATATTTCTGTAACATTGTTTCTAATATTTTTCTGTAAGAACAACAAGGAGGTAAATGTGACTCAATTTATTATTTTTTTTCTTTAAAACAGTTGGGAACAAGTTTGTTTTTGGCAGGAAATAACTTGGATGAGCCTCCCTAACTAACCCTGTCTCATGTAACTTCCCCAAATTGTTAAGAAATAGCTTTGAAATCCAAAGTGAGTGAGTTCTTCAGTGAGTTTCAACATTTTTACATCTGTGAAACCATGCTTACACATGACCTTGAATTTTGAAATCACCCAAGAAGAGCATGAAGACAACTGTCATTAAGAGCACCCTTTTCACCCAGTTCCCTTTGGTACTGGAAAATGAGCCTGGTGCTTGTGTGTCTGGGAGCACCTGGGTCAGGAGTATTTAGCAGTGAGAAAACTGCAATGAATGACAAAGGTCAGTGTTCATGCTGATGCCTTTGCTGTGACTGGTACATTGCAATGCTTGCTGCCTACTGCAGCAGACAGACCAACTCTCTGCCATCAGGAACCTATTATTCCATTTCCCTCATTCACAAATTATAAACATGAGTGGTGTGTGTGTATGAGTGTGTGTGAGTGTGCATGCACACATGCATCTGGGGATGAGTTGTGGCTAGGAGTTGCACAGAATTTCTTTCATCTCCAGAGTTGACCTACATCTTATTTTATTCAAAAACAAATATTATGCATTTACTTGCTTATTCTGATTTATTTTTACACAAAATTGTTAATTTCACCTACGTGGTGGCTGATGAAACATTGGCTTACAATGTTATTCTTAAGCTTAATCAAGAGGACTTTAAAAAGTAATTTGTCAGTTTTCCAGCCTATAACAAATACTTGAGATGGTTGACTTACAAAGAAGAGTTATTTGTATGCCCCATATTTTGGAGGATGTGGTCCATGCTTGGTCAGTCCATTTGCGCAGAGCTGTGATGAGGCAGCAGCATGCAGCAGTGCAGACTGACAAAGAATAGCGTTCACCACCTGGCAGGAAGGGAAAGAGGGTGAGGACAGAGCAGGAGGGATGGTAGCATGCTCTCTTTTAATAGCACAGCCAGGGAACTAAGGACCACCCCTGGCGGCTTAAAACTTCTACCACTTGCTCATAGTGTCACCCTGGGGACTGAGCCTTTAACACATGAGTGTTTGGGGTCACTTAAGATTCAAATGATAACATAAAGATAGCATAGGAATTCGTAATGAGGAAAAATAGACCACGTGAATCTGTACCATCCTGTCTTTATCTATGTATCTATGCTTACATCTAGGTGTATATCTACATACAGATGCATATCATCTGATTTCAGCTGTTTTTAATGCCCATCATGTCTCTACTTTCAAGTGAACTCTATGAAACATTTCATCAAATGTAAAAGTATTTTTCCTCTCCTGTTAGATCACAGTCTTAGTCTGACCTTCCAATTTAGCAAACACTAAGAACTTAAGTACAATTAGTTATGTAAGAGGTGATGGAGGAAGTAGAAGTGAGGAAGTAAAAAATCGATTGAGTAAAGAAAGAAAAACCCGTCAGGGATTGTTCCATGAATTGTTTCCTGTTCTGGACACCTTAGCTCCACCCCCAGGAGCTCCATGAGAAACCATGGAGAGTGACTATGAGAATTATCCCCACTAAGTAGCAGGACCTGTTAGCCACTACTTCTGACCCTCTTTACTGGGGAGAGGGTTAATCCTCCACCCCTTACAGATCACACGGGCACCCCTGAGCAGACACTGGTTTGTGCCAGAGCGACTCCCTTGACAGGACTGGGCGGCCTTCCTGCAAGCGCAGAAATCATGGGTCCTGGAACTGCCCTGCTCTTCTATGTTGAAACCGGAGTTCCAGAAGCTGTTCAGCACATCTGCGCTGAAAATCAGGGGCTGGGAGTTGTCCAGCCCCCGCGTGTTGAAATCAGGGCCTGGCACTGTCCAGCACTAGCATGTCGAAATCACGGGGTCCGGGAGCTGTCCAGCTCTCAGGCGTGCTGAAACCAAGGCCTGAGAGCTGTCCAGAACCTGAGTGCTGAAATCAGGGGCTGGAACTGTCCAGCACTAGCATATCGAAATCAGAGGTCCGGGAGCTGTCCAGCACGCCTTGCTGAAATGAGGGACCACAATGCAGCACAAGCACCACCCACATTAGGTGTCCTTGTTACTGTTCGTTTATTTTCAAAAGAGATTCATTTGGTATCTCACTTAGTTTCTAAGTATATTCATTTTAAGGTTGCCAGATCTGTATTTTAATCTGCTTGGCATTTACAACCCACATGACTGAAGATAAACTTAATCTTCTAAATCCTAGTCCTAATCTGTAAAATGATGCTACCAATGGCACCACCTTTTTTAGAATTGTAAAAAAGAAAAGGCATATGTGTTTCCTGGACAATTATTAAGTCGGTAGCTGTGGAGCATAAGCACTCATGATTATCCCAACGGATGATGTCAGAAAAGAATGCATGAAGCTTGACTCGGTCAGATGCAGGGCTGGATACTGGCTCACTGGTCGTGGGGCTTTCAGGGTCATTCCACCATTTTCGTCATTAACTCTTATGACCTTCATCTGTCAAAAGACACAAAGAAATGCCAGTTTCAGCAATTTGTTATGAGAAACTCAAAAATATTGCAAGTAAGATAGCACATGTAAATACTATGGTCTGTTCCACGGTTCTTATTGGTTTGCATATTTGTCCATGCAGGCACTCCCTTTATTGTGACAGTTTTTAGGCATATAAAGAGTATTATATTAACATTTCTGTTTGAAATATTTATGGTTAGTGGGACACTGGAAAAGATATACTACAATATAAAATGCATCTGGTACCAAGGAAGCATCATGGAAGTGTGAGTCAATTCAGGAAAGCACATAACTTTACTCCTTTGTAATTACTTTCTGTTACTTAGTAAATGTGGTCTATTTATGCTTCTTGAGAGAAATAATAAACAGCTCTCTTGGCTGGAAGCTAGGATTTCTGGTCTTAATCCAGGCTCTGATTGGACATTAGAACCTCCATGAATTTCAATATTGTTCCACCAAATAACTTCCAAACTCACAACTATAACATTGTATATAGAAAATTATAACTCACAACTACCTCACTGTACATTGCAAATTATAAAAACAAATAAACAAAAATAAAGTTGGAGAGACAAGTTGTTTTCTATCCTTTAGTTATCTTGGATGATTTAACAAATAAACTATGAATGTAGTTGTGAAGGTTTGCGGGATGAAAAGTGCACTCTGGATACTCAGATAGATGTCTTAATATTGAGGTGATGTCACTAAATGCCAAAGGGCATTCAGACCAAAGAAAATTTGGAGAGAAATTGGCTCACCTGTTTCTGTAAAAAAGAAAATAAATGGTGGGAATGGTAAAGGAAAAACAAGCAGTAATTTTACTTTTATTTTTCACACAACTTGTCTGCATTGTGAAATTACTACTATTGTATCATTGCTGGTATTTGTCATTTACTTCAACTATTTCCTTTCATAATTAAAATAACTATTTTTGGCAGGCACACTTACAGCTAGATTTAAAAATCATCACTAGGTTGCTTAATAGCCTTTAAAATTTATCATTACAAAAGTGACATTGATGAAATATTAATTCTTTATTTTCTGCAAATGAGAGGGGAATGCTTGCCAAACAGCTAAAACCAGAATGTCTTTGTTTGTACTCCCCTGATTTTCCCCCTTAAGGCAAACCTGGTCTTTGAATTGTAGCTGTTTGCTCTTTGGTTTTGAAACTGCCAATGGTGTAGATTTGTGTAAGTGCAGACATGATGGCTGCTTAGATGTGAACAAAAAGTGGAGAAGGGTTCAAATGGGGAGGGACCACCTTTCCCATCCCACAGAATCTAGGTTGGCAGTGACAATCCACAGGTGGAAAATGGTAAGTGAAATAAAATATTCTACCTGGCCAACTTCCTTGAAATAAAATTGCCTTTTCATCCGGTGAGTCATCCTGGACTCAGCAAAGCCCCCCTCCTCCAGGGGCCTCTGCCTCCCTGGGGGATGAAGCCTGGATCTCCTCTCTTCAGAACTGTGTGGGAGCTTCCATCTCCTAGATATCCACAGTGGATTGATTAATCATGGCTTGTTTCAGAGTTATGTTTCAGGTGGAATTTTTTAAGAGGAACTATTTCTTAGTACTTCTTCAGAACTAAGTACTTGTGTTAGTTCCTTCCCATATGCAGAAAGTGAAAGGAAAGCTATTACATAATCATTAATAAAAAGTAAAAGCCCTTGCAAAGAAGAAAGTAAAGGGAATGGAAGAAAAGGAAGACAAGAAAGGACCAGAAGCTATCTGTGAAAAATTCTCTTTGGAAAAGTCATTAAGGGATAACAGAGACAGAGAAACTATCCTGATATGTGTTAAAATAGAAAGAAGGAGCCATTCAAATTCAAGGCTGAGTGTTGACATAAAGAAAACTCAAGGCTCTGTGTTAAGAAAGAAGGGAAAATTCAGCATAAAAGTGGAAAGCATTATGAATATCTTCACCGCAGTTGCTCACTTCTTTATCTGCCATCTCTGCTCTCACGCTGTGGCTCAGGAGCCCTGCTGCAGCTCAGGGCAGCTGATCACATCGTCCGTGGCCCTGGCACACTCTGCCGTGTTCTACTCTCTCAGCAGACATCGGTCACTGACCTTGGGTATCAGTAGGAATGTGTGCAGTATGGACTTTTGGAAATCTGCCTCCTGTATCACAAAGCTGCTGTAGCTCAGGAAAACACACATGGCTCTGTTTGGACATACAGAGCTCCTGGGCTTAAAAAAACAACCAAAATGATTTGATGTGGAGTTAATGAATGATGACTTTGTTCCATAATGTATCATTAGACTCATGCTGAGAAGGGAAGCCTCAAAGGATCCTTAGGAAACTCAACTTGCCAGACTAAGCCGTTTCACTTTAATTGAGAAACCTCACACTGGGGCAACAGGCACACTACACAAAGCATACATGAAAGCAATTAGACCTGCACCTTCGTCTGAATGCAGTCTGCATCCTCAGAACGCCTGAGGAAATTCCAGTCTCAAGAGCAGGTTCTAACCCTGATGTGGAACTCATTCTCCCCAATGCAAACAGGAATAGTGGGATGGGAAGAATCACAGAGTCCACAAAAGGAGCAGTGCTTTCTCCCTGGTGGATCCTAAAGTTAATAACACCTGGTTACTAGTTCTTTTCAGTATCCTGGTGTGTATAGGGGTCATTTTAAAATGATTCCCAAAATTAAGCTCTTCCCTCTAACCAAGGGGCAATTGTATTTTGAAAAATTCTTAATTATCTGCAGAAGACTTTCTAAATTTACAACCCAATTTTTTCTCACAGACCTAGAATTCAGCTACTCCAGTTCTAGGCATGATTTACTGTTATTACTAGCACATTAATAGTATAAGTTATCTGATTTGCTGATCCTATGATTCCTGTTTCTCACATCTAGGTTAGAGACAAATAACAGATTTTAACACACTTTCAAATTTTCTGTATGTTTCAAGGCTACAGGTAGTGTCCTTTGCTGAAAATTTATCTTTGAAAACAGAATTCAACCATGATGCTTTTGTCGCTTACAGCAGATTCCTCCACTCATTCCCGTCCCACTTCCGCTGTCCATTAACATGCACATACCAAACTCCATCTATTTCTTTCTACCATGCCTGCCCTTATTGAACTCAACTATGACTTCTCTTTTGCTAAACCAACCACACACCAGTCTCTCTTGGCCTTTTATACCTGGTCAGCAGCACCTGGCCAGTTTATCTCATCCTGGTCTTTAAATTCCTACTCTTCTCACTTCTTGATTTCTTGTCTTCTGAGTGCTTTTTTCACCTCTGAACAATCTACTCCTTATTATCCACTACCAGCTTTTCCTCGTGCACTGACACCTGAGTAGTGAGGCTGCTAGAATTTTATGGCTTCTTTCTTCTTTGGCTGATGTTTGTGTCTTCACATTTTATAGATAAAGAAGACTTCTGCTTTCAGCCATGAGAGGTAAGAGTGGACGTCTGAGAGTTCCAGCCATGGAGGGATTCAGGCAACTTATTCACCCGCCCTCTCAGTAAGCGTATGCAACGTGGGCCAGGAGGAGAACAGAGCTCCAGAGTTCCGGCTATGGAGGGATTTGGGCAGCTTATTCACCTGCCCTCTTGATAAGCACCTGCAGTGTGGGCCTGGAGGAGAACCATTACCTGTGAGCCAACTTCCACGGGAGCTGAAAATCAAGCACCCTTCTCCCACCTGCCCCCTCGCCCCTTACCTACTAGGGATAGATATTTCAACATCTCTTGGGAGGATGACCACATGCAGTATAGCAAAGTTGGGGGATTCTCTTCTATCTTCTGTTTGAAGGCATAGGTTGTTTTCACTTTTTGTTATATTTCTTTCGCTCTATTCAGTATTCTCAATTCGTTTTACAATGTTCTATTTTTGGTTTGATTTAACAACACGTAATTGGCTGGATAGCTATTGTTAAATTAAAGAGATATACCATAGTACTTAGTACTACCATCCCAGTATCCTACTGAGAAATCCTGTACCAATTTCACAGCATTGTCTCGATTGGCTTTGTTCTGTCTTACGCTGTTGCATAATTGCTACTTTCAACATTAAAAAAAAATAGATGTTAAGACCCATGCATGTGTAGAATCTATGAACAGTTTATGAGAACTGATCTTATGACAATTGATGAAATGAGCAGATACTTTGAAGAAAAGGAGACACTAAAATATCCAGTGCTGATCCTGGTGTGTCATAATGCGAAACCCAGCAACAGTGTTATTCTTTGTTCAGAGTGAGATTAGCCTGCTTGGGTTTATTGAAAGTCAACATAGTTGAAGATATGGGTAACTGCATATATGTTTAAGTGTAAAGGATTGAGAACCATATTTCTAAGTTTTTGTTAGATAGTTGAACAGAACTGGTTGCAGTCTCACTGTTTAAATCCCCACTTTATATGCTCCAATTTAGTGTCTTGAATAACTATTTGTAAGAAGATAATCTGTAATCATCAACTAGTGATTTCTTACTGTTTATTTTTCTTTGAAAGTATGTATTATTACTACCCGTTTTCTGGTTTTTTTTTTTTTTTTGTCTTTCTTTAAATTCAGTTTTAAAAAGAAGACACTACAGTACCCACGCTGATCACGGAGTGTCATGAAGTGAAATCCAGCAATACTATTATTCTTTGTTCAAAATGATTTTAACCTGCTTTAGTTTGTTTAATCTAAACATAAATGAAGATATGGATAACTGCATGTATGTTTCAATGTATAGGATTGACAACCATGTTACTAAGCTTTTGTTGGACAGTTGATTAGAACTTTTTTGCAGTCTCTCTGTTTGAATTTCCACTTTACGTGTTCCATTTTTGTACCTTGAACAACTATTTGTAAAACGACAACATCAACTAGTGATTTCTTACTCTTTTTTTTCTCTGAATGTATGTACTATTTCTACCTCTTTTTTGTTTTTTTTTTAATCTTTCTTTAAATAAAAAAAAGTGGACGTCTTCGTTCCATAGCTAGGCAACTCCTTCAGAAATTGTCCCAGGCAAGTGTAACTCAT